CGGGAGCGCTGCTGCGCTTCCCAAGCGGCGCACTATCCAGTGCGCCACCGGGCCGGCCCTTGTTTGGCTTTTTAAAAAAATTATTTGTTGGCTTGTTTCTCCAACAGTGAAGTTTCAACCGGCATTTTTTTCCATCACCACCTTCAACCCAATCATTGTACCCTCAGAAAATGCAAACTCACTGTAATTTTAGCCTGAGCAAAAAGACTTATAAATTCTGATTTTACGAAATTACACAATGCATCATTCCAAAGCCAGGCAAGTAAGCATTTTGGGTTATCTACATTTTTACAAATATAATAGTAATTGTATTTTTATTTATTACTCTGTCCTAACTCTTTCAATGAGAAGACTGTTTAGGAGTAGACCATGTACCAATCGAGTCTGTCCACAGAATTTATCCCCTTTTCCTTTTTATTTTAAAATGTATCATTCTCCTTTCATTTAAACTTAACTGAAAAAAACTTTTGTAAATATCAGTGTGTACTTCTTGTTTTCCAGTAAATAGTAGTGTCATGCTGTTATCAAATGAAGTAATCAACACATGTGTTCAAGTGTTTTTCCAGCTAATCTTTTATATCATGTTAGTATATCTAGATATAAATGAAGTAATAGCCCTCTAAACAGGTCAACCGTGAAACAGACAAGGAACTTATAGAAGGCATTTTTAGAACACTGGCAGCTCATACCAGCAATCAGCCTCTTCTCAGTTACATCCCTCAAGCTTCTAGCCCAGGAGTGTATTCACACCTGCAAATAAGCAGAGGACCACTATGCTGTTCCAAGCTTACCCACTCATTTTAAAATGATCTTGTTTGTTTAAATGAAAGCTGCTGTTTGCATGGAAACAATTCATCCCATCATGTGGTATTAAGGTAATAAATTAATTGCACTTGTGTTTCTCTTTTCTTCTCAAGACCAATTAATGGTAAACTTAAGATACTTTTAATGTGCTAAGATCTATAGGTATTTATACCTGTTATTCTATATTGGAAAATTAAACTCATTTAGCAAAACAGATCTGTTTCCCAACCAGAATAAGAGAAAAGATGTCTCTGTGATGAAGCTATTAGAGTTTTTTCTGTCAGGATCCGACATTTAAAATAAGTTGCTTCTTAAGTTGAAGAAATCAAAAGATGACTTCAGGCCCTCAGGCATGAAAACCAATTCCAGACCGAACAAGGGAAAATGTGACATATGGAAGGTGATTAGAAAACTTAAAATGAGTTCTAGTTCTATGGGAAAACAACAGCTTTGAAACATAGCCTCCTAATTTAACCATTTTCTCTCCCTTGGGCTCAAGAAGACAACACAGACACACACCCCAATAGGACCCCAGACCAGGAAAGGCCTTTTAAGGGCATATAATTCACCTCACTCCTTTCCTAAGTAAGGAGATCAGAATTCCAAGCGAGGTAATAACTTGCTTAAGGGCGCACAGTTAACAATTGCTGGAACCAAAACAGTGCTCCGATTTTCACTCTGAGTGAACTGCACTCAGTGACAACATTCCTGAGTCCAAAG